GCCCACTAAGAATACAGCAAAGGTGCCGCCGTCGCCGCAACCACGACAGCAGGTTCAACCGCCCGCACGCGCTGCGGGACCACCGAGCCGTGACCGTCCAGCTTTGCCCCCAGGATCGACCATTGTTTTTCCTGCACAGCAAGGAGCCAACCTGCCCTCTCCCTCTCCAGGTGCCCAGCATCCTCCTCAAGGGGGCGAAGCTGCCGGCCGCAAAGGACCAGCAACAACCGCCGGTTCTCCCATGGTGCCTCAGTTCGCGACGAGGCCGCAACAGCCGTATCAGCAGTGGTCTCCCCATCCCGCTCCTCAAACCCCCATATTCCAATACTCTCCCCTTATCCAAACTCACCGTACTCGAATCAGCCGATTCTTGAAAGGCCGGCGCCCCCTCAGCAAGCACCTCCCGTCACGGCACCTCCCGTCACACAGCGCGATGGTAGCAGGCCTTTGCCGAGCCCGCATCCAGCGACTGGTCCCGCGACTCCTGGTGCTTTCCCCGCAGCTGTCCAGTCGCCTCTAACGGAGATCTCGGCTCAGCAGACACCCACCGTTGCCAGAACTCCGTCGTTCTCCACAACGCTCAGTAAGCAGCCTTCCCGCCCATCGGTGGCCACTCCAGGATCCCTCACGCCGTGGAAACGGTCTCCGCGTCTGAGTCTGAGCATTCCTCAGTCCCCAGGCTCCCCGGTGCGGCCTAAGCCGGAAGATGTCAGTCCGATCAGTGACAGAGCACCGTCACCGATCGAACCTTTGGACGTTCTCGCCAGGGAAGCCGAATCTGGCCAGAAACGTCCCGAAGCCGAAACCGAGAAGCCCAGACGCAGCAGGAAGAGGAGCGTTCCACCCCTCGACTTGGAGATGGAAAAGCCCGCCAAATCTCGGGCCAAGCGCGCGGAGAGTACCGCTTCCACAAGGAGTCGGGGACGTTCGGTGGCTTCTCGTGACGATGAGTCGGCCACGGATTCAGGATCGGCCACTCTCCGCAAAATCAAACATGAGGCGCCAAACACTCCCGCGGGAATACCGGAGGACACTGAAGCAGAGCCCCGAGCGGGGACTCGGCGTAAGGCAGCTGCGGGCACGGGACCGGGCGATGAAGGGCCGGCCAGAGGAAGAACCAAGCGTAAGCGCGGTGCCAGTGAGTCGTTGGAGCTGGATACTGGCCAACCGACCCCAATCCGGCACGAGTCGTCTCAGTATGTTTTGTGCACCCGCAACTTCCCGCGGACCGGGGCTCCTATCATGAACGACGTGGCCGCCCACAAACATGCGTCGATCTTTGCGAAACCGTTGACCGAACGGGAAGCTCCGGGTTACAAGGATCTCATCTACCGACCCCAGGATCTCAAGTCCATCAAGTCTGCGATTCACCATGGCAGTAGAGCTGTCGCTGCAGCTACGGAAGCGGCCAGCACGCCTGCGGATGGGGAGTCACCAAACCCTGCGGCCGCCACGCCGTCGAAAAACACCGTGCTTGTACTGCCGAAGACGGCCGATATCATCCCGCCCAAAGGCATTGTCAACTCGGCCCAGTTGGAGAAAGAGTTGATTCGCATGTTTGCCAACGCCGTGATGTTCAACCCGGCCCCCGAACGCGAGCGAGGCTTCGGACCCGCATTTCCTATGTCGAAGGGTAGCGGAGCCCGAACGAGCGCACCGCGATGGGAGGCCGACGAGGGGGGCATCGTCCGCGACACGCGGGAGATGTGCGATGACGTCGAACAAGCTGTCACAAGATGGCGCGCAGCCGAGCGGACGGCAGATGAACTGGGTAACAAAAGCTTCCTCTCTCTTCGAAGAGGCAGTGCCAGCGACCTCAACGCCGATGGTGCAGATGACATGAAGGGATGAGCAGTGGTTCTTCCCTGCTTTCTCACCCTGTAGGCCTTAATTAATTTTGTTTACGAGTATCTTTTTTGCTGATCGTTTCCATGACAAGATATACATCTGGATGCGAAAAGAAGAGAGTGAGGGTCGCCTGTACGTTAGATAGCGTCGATGATCTGGCATAGAAACGAATCAGAGTCTTTTTGCAAGGCGATATGAAGAGAAGAACCGCTCTTGTAGTTTGAAAGAAAATGGGGTATTATTGATGGTATCTAATGCGTCTTTCTTTCTTTTTTTTTTCTTATGCAGCCGCGACATGCTCAGCCCTGGTCCGACCAAGACCATCTTTGGCGTAAAAGTCCATCGGGTAGACGCCATTGTTGGCCTGATCCCAGCCCTCTCGCGCCCCCAGGGCCACGAGCGCTTCGTAGGGCGTCAGCAGAGGGCGCGGGAACGCATAGCCCCAGTCGATACTCAGCCGGGGGCAGGCGACCTGCACCCAACACTCGACGTCGGACATGGCGGCGAGCTTTCCGGGGAAGATCTCGCTGAGGAGCAGGTTGACGAAGGGGATGCCTTTCTCGTTGAGATGGCGCTCGATCAGAGCCATGGTGTGCGGGTTCCCCTGCCGGCCGAGCGTGCCCAAGATGATGCCCCATTTCTTGGCGGAGCGGGCGGCGGCGATGGCGTCTCGTCGCAGCGACTGCATCTCCTCGTGGTCGTAGGTCTCGCGGGAGAGGGTGCGCGAGTACGGGTCGTAGCGGAATGCCGGGATGGAAGGGTTGTGGATCATGGCGGATTCGAGGTGGAAGCGACCGTCTCCGAGGTAGAGGAGGATGTCGACCTCCTTCTCGGACAGCTGCGGGGATGTGCAGCCGAGGATCTCGCCCTTGGACAAGGGCAGGATCTGGGGGATGACGATCTTGAACCCGGCCCGTTCGAGCACGGGCTTGAGGCCGTGCAGCGTCGCGTTGAATTGGATCGTCCCCACCATGGCGATCGTCTTGCCCGGCTGGAAGTTCCGCTCCAGGGTCGCGATCAGATGTGACGTGTCGATGCTGATGTCGACAAAGATGTAGAGCGTCTTGATCGTCGTGACGTCCACGGGGATCAGACAGCTATGGGCATAGTGCACCAGGAGGTCACAGCCCAGCGCGCAGGCGGTATAGTCGTCGATGCAGCAGGCGCCGTAGGTGACGTCTCCCATGATCAGCGTCTCGACGCCGGGACAGAACTGGGTCAGGATATCGGAGATGGTAGTTGCAAACATGAGGAGCCCCTCGGGGAACTGCAACGCCACTCGTTTGGCGCCCGACGTGCGGATGCGATGTATCGTCTTGGGGATCTCGAAGGAGTAGTTCTTGGGCAGAAGCTCAATCGCGGCCTGGATGTCGGGGTCTTCGGAAATCTCTGGAGGGACATGGTTCAACGCTCGTGGAGCTCTCCTGGGGGTTGCTACAGAGACAGTCAGCAGGGACTTGAATCGGGTATGTCATCAACAGATTCGTACCTTTTTGAACGGCCGTTGTATCGCCATCTTGGGGCGCTGACAGATTTTCCGTCTGAGTCTGAGCCTGGGCATCTGCCGTCCGCCGTCCGACAAATCTTTTCTTGGGCTGGCGAGTCTGATTGCGAGGCGGGGCTTCAGATGGTATATCCTCCATGGCAGCTATTGTCTGAGAGGAGATAATCGATTGACTTGCCAGATAGTCAATACGAATTGTGGTGGCCTTATAATCTGGGTAAATACCGAGAAAATATTGTCTGTCTATCGAGGGGATCCAGCCAAGTGGGGGTTATCATCCGATAATCGATTAGCCAGCCAAGCCTCTCCGCATTCCTCCTGCCATGCTCGAGCTTCGCAACTATCACCAGCTTCTTCCCCACGCATCCATTCCTTGATGGAACACAATTCCTTCTTTTTCCTCCTGGGAAGCTGACCTTACAGGATGCAGCACCTCCGAACCCGACTGCGGCTGCTCCCAGCCCTTCGTACTCTCCCACGCCAGCCTGCTCGCCGCTTTGCGACAGAGGCTCGGTTAACCTCGGACCACGTCCGCATCGTCGAAGTAGGCCCGCGAGATGGCCTGCAGAACGAGAAGAAGGCCATCCCTCTCGAGACCAAGATCCAGCTGATCGAGAAGCTTGCGAAGACCGGCGTGACGACCATCGAGGCGGGCTCGTTCGTGCCGGAGAAATGGGTGCCCCAGGTGAGCTTGCTCCCGTCGCCAACAGGCAAGCGATTTACACGTACTGACAGCACTGCGGTGTAGATGGCAAGCACTTCGGAGATTCTCCAGCATCTGCTGAAGTCCCCTCCTCAGTCCCAGCATACGATTGCCTACAACTACCTGGTCCCCAACGTCAAGGGCTTGGAGAACCTGGTCAAGATCATGGACGCTGAGGGTGCTACCGCGGAGTCGCCCGCCACTGAGTCCAAGCCCGGGACAAGAACGGAGATTTCCCTCTTTGCCGCCGCGACTGAAGCCTTCTCCAAGGCGAACACAAACTGCACGATCGCCGAGTCTCTGGAGCGGGTGCGCCCCATCATGGCGCTGGCGAAGTCCAAGAATATCCGCGTGCGCGGATATGTGTCTGTGGCTTTGGGCTGTCCGTACGAAGGCCCCGACGTTCCTCCGTCGAAGGTCGCCGAGATTACTGCATCCCTGCTGGAGATGGGGGCGGACGAGGTTTCAGTCGCCGACACGACCGGGATGGGGACTGCGCCCCGGACATTGGAGCTCTTGAAGACCCTCTCTGCGGCAGGGATCGCCACTAGTGACCTGGCTCTTCATTTCCACGATACCTATGGGCAAGCCCTGGTCAACACGATTGTCGGACTCGAGCATGGGATCCGAGTGTTCGACAGCAGTGTCGGCGGACTGGGCGGCTGCCCGTACTCCAAGGGCGCGACCGGCAATGTCGCGACCGAAGACCTGGTCCATACGCTCCACAGCCTGGGCATGCACACGGGGATCGACCTGGAGGAGATGTCCCGGATCGGATCGTGGATCAGCAAGGAGCTCGGGCGTCCTAACGACAGCAGGGCAGGGAAAGCAACGGTGGCACGACTTGAGGGATATAAGTGCCAGTAATATCGCGTCGGTATAAAAAGTTGCCGCAAGTGTGAGATAAACTTGTCCAATCATGGCACATCTATCCTCGCTGTACTGTACATGTATGTACATTGTTTGCACGGTTTTGAACCACAAGAACAAAATACAAGGCCAGTTATTTGGTCGCTGAAAGCATCAGACTTGTTCCTTCCACAGCAAAAACCATATTTCATTCCGTATATGTATTTAGAATGTTCAAAAATCCGTCACGCGTCCGTTGTAGCTCCAGTCTCCGTTGGCTCCCCACCGCAAGGGTTCAGTCTTGGGCCCTCCGATCTCACCAGTCTTGGGATTCTTGTCGCCTTCAAACTCAGGTTCGACACCCAGCCGCAGATGCGGATATAGGTCATCCACACCATCCAAGTCTACGCGGCGAGAGGAGGTAGTGGCGGAGGAAGAAGCAGAAGTAGAAGAAGGCTGCTCTTCTTGCAAGTGGGGAGATTGATTGACCTTGGGCGGAGTTCGCGGGGTGCTAAAGGCGCCGGTCGATTGTCGCTGCAGCTCTTCGAAGATCTCCTGTTCTTCTTTGGGCAGTCTCGGGGGTGCTGGGCCGCCCATGAACGGATTCTTCTTCTTGTCGTCGGCGACCCTGCGCGCGGGTGTTGTGGACAGGGAACGAGCGTGTGAGAGGAGTCGTCGTGACGGCGCGACGGCGCGAGAGAATGCCCTGGCGGACAACATATTGCTTCTGTTTGCTCTCTGTAAAAAGAAGGAAAACAAACGATATGAATGAGAAGGGCAGCTGGCAAAGCTATTGGTTGTGGCGGCGAGGAGTGATGGACGAGCTCCGAGGAACGAAGTCGGAAAGCCGTCGGCGGTTATCGATAAGCGGGCCGATAATCGCTCGTCCGTCTACAATATTTCTCCCGCGTGAGTCAACAACAATCCAGCCCTGACATCGCTGCTGTCTCTGCTGGCATGCAATAACGGACTGCCCGGACTGCCCTCAATTGCATTGTTTTCGCCCAATTAATATCCCTCCAATTCGTCAACACAATGGCTATGCGAGCGGCCTGCCGCCGCCTGTCCTCCGCAAGGACGACGAGGCTATTTGCCCAGCCCCGGCACTTCAGCTCGACAACGACTGTCTCCAGTCCCTCTCAAGATGAGAAATCCGTATGAATTGGTTCTTCAATCTCTCCTGTGGAAGTCGACTAACGCAGAATGAGACCTCTCTGTCTACTCCCGATCCTGCGCCCAATTCGTCAACGTTCGCCTTCCTCGAGGAGAGAACGCCCTACATGGTTACCACCTACGCTCGACCGCCGCCGATGATGGTCAAGGGTCAAGGATGCTATCTCTGGGACATGGAGAACCGGCGCTTTCTCGATCTGACGGCAGGCATTGCGGTTAATTCGCTGGGTCATTGTGACCCGGAGATCGCCAAGATCATCGCACAGCAGGTAAGCTGCGGACGAAGCAGAGGAAATGGTGGACCTAGAACTGACGATTGGGTGGAATTGCTTCTAGTCAGAGACTTTGATTCACGCATCGAACCTGTATCACAACCCGTGGACGGGCGCCCTCAGTAAGCTGCTGGTGGAGTCGACCGTTCAATCCGGCGCGATGCGAGACGCAGCGCAGGTCTTCATCGCCAATTCGGGAACAGAAGCCAACGAAGCTGCGATCAAGTTCGCGCGCAAGGTGGGACGCTCTCTCGACCCGTCGGGCGCAAAGCATGAATTCGTCTCCTTCCACAACTCTTTCCACGGCCGGACGATGGGCGCCCTGTCGGCGACGCCCAATCCCAAGTACCAGACGCCGTTTTCGCCCATGGTCCCTGGGTTCAAGTACGGCAAGTTCAATGATGTCGAACAGCTGTCGACATTGATCACGGAGAAGACGTGCGGTGTCATCGTGGAGCCAGTTCAAGGTGAAGGCGGCATCCACGTCGCGACGCCCGAGTTCCTCGTCGCGCTGCGGGAGCGATGCGATGCAGTTGGAGCGATCTTGATCTTCGACGAGATCCAGTGCGGTCTTTCTCGCACGGGGACCCTCTGGGCCCATGCCCACCCTGCATTCGCGCCGAAGACGGGCAAGCCTGCGCATCCTGACATCCTCACGACGGCCAAGGCGCTGGGCAACGGCATCCCGATCGGTGCAACCATTGTCTCTGGCACCAAGGTGGCACCGCACATCAAGACGGGCGACCACGGCACCACGTTCGGCGGCAATCCGCTGGCCTGCCGCGTGGCGCACCACATCGTGGAACGGCTGAACTCGTCCGAGCTGCAGAACGCGGTCGAGCTCCGGTCGTCGCAGTTCGTCGCGGGCTTCCAGGCCCTGCAGAAGAAGTTCCCCGAGGTCATCGCCGAGATCCGGGGACTGGGCCTCATCCTGGGCGTCCAGTTGTCGGAAAAGTACATCCCCAAGGCGTCGGACATCCTCACGGCGGCGCGACAGCGTGGCCTCCTCATCATCACTGCAGGTGAGGGTTGTCTGCGATTCGTGCCGCCGTTGACCATCTCCGAAGACCAGGTCAAGACGGGCCTGAAGATCCTTGAGGAGGCTATCGAAGATGTCAGCAGTCAATAAAGAGACAGCTAGCAAGCCAGTATTTCTTGGATTCGATTCTTCTTCAGACGAAGAACTAACTAAAATAGCGTGATGTGATCGATCAACCTATCGATCGATTGATGTGGCCGATGTACTAGTTTCTTTCACATTGTCATTAGCATGTTGTGTTTGTTATATTGTATTCTCTAGATAGATAGATAGATCAATTGGCTTGATGGATAGATAAAGAAGAAAAAGGAAGAGATTTTACACCATTTCCCCCATCATTTCATTATATATATCATCACCAACTTCTATAGATTAATATTATATCATACCTCCTTGCTATACTGCACTGCACTGCATTACACTATCATAGTCACAATCATTCAATTCGTCGCATATATCTATATATAGACAGACAGACAGACACATCTCTACTACCTACCTATCTACCTACCTAGATAGATCCATAGATACATACTTGCATATGTAAAAAGATCACGGCGTCCGAACCCCCTCTCCCAACCCCATCAGCCCGCCCGCGAGGCCATTCATCCGTCGTCCGATTAGATCCTCTTCGGTGGGGAGGCGTGAGATAGGACCACCACCGCTGCTGCCGTTTTGCTTTTCTTTTCGCTTCTTTGGTGTTGTTGTGGGGTACTCGTCTTCTTCGTCGTGCTCGTCGTCCTCGTCGAGGTTGATGTCGTTGTTGTTTTCTTCCATGATGTTATCAGCAGCAGCAGGTTTGCGATGGCGAGTCTTCCCTCCACCTCCACCTCCACCTCGTAGGGTTTTGCCACCCCGTTTGGGCGTTTTGTTTCCTAGGCGGACCTCTTGAGTGCTATTAGCAGGCTCGTTCGCTTTCGGTGCTGTTGCTGTTTCTTCTGCTGTCGCATAACCGTCTGTCGTAGCGCTTCCATTCGTCGTCGTCGTAGTCACCGACGGCGGGCGCACAGGAGTGAATTTGCGAATGCTTCTCATCTCCAAAGGCCGGTCTTCGTCTGCGGAAGATTCGGCGAAGGAGCTTCTTCTGCTGCTGCTGCTGTGCCCCCGCTTCGATGCCTGACTCTCCGTAATAAGCCGACTGTCGGTGGAATGTACGAGACTGGAAGTTGCTGACTTCTTCTGCTCAGCCCTCTCGAACAGCTCGTGGATCCACACGGCGCATTTGTGGATGTGCTTCCACGCCTCGGGGAAGATGCCGGGAAAATTGAGGAAGCCGTGCGAGATGCTCGGGATCAAGTCCACTTCCACATACTCCTTCTCGTTGAACTGTCGTGTCGACTTCTCCAGTCCTAGCTCCTGGCGCTCGCGGAAGCGGTGCAGTTTCGCCTGGCGGATCCTGCCCGCGAAGATCACCGTGTCGTCTACGAGCGGGTCGCGCTCGCCTGTCAGGATGTACGTCTTGGGAAAACGAGCGAGCACGGCTTCGGGCGCCAGGACGGGCGAGAGTAGGAAGTCGGTGCTGAAATCTGGACGGTTGTGTGGGCCTATGTACAGGATGATCATGGCCCGCATCATCTCTGGTGTCAAGATCCGGTCGTTGAAGTAGGAGATCATCGACGATACTGCCAGGCGAGTCTTGATCTGCCGTGGCTGGTTATCAGCGACAGTTGCAGCCTGGGTGGCCAGGTCGGACGTCTTGAGCGCTGTGTCGACAGTGCCAGATTCCTTGTGATTGAAGTAGTCGAGGGAGGTATTATTATCTTGTGTCTCGTCCGGCGAGAGACGACAGCGAGATCCTGTAGGGGTTAACCGGTAGTAATCTTCGCTCTTCCTCCTCAGCACGTTCTCATTCGTCTTCCTCATGCCTCGATCCTGAAACAAGGCCATCTGCTCCTCGGTCATCCAGCTCCCGATATTCATGTCCAGCGACGGATACACCAAGACGAGCCCGTCTGGCGGCGGGAGAGCTGTCTCCCCGTGCCACTGTCGCGTTTCCGTACTGCCCGACTGTAGAATCATAATGGTCAACCCGGCTGCCAGGTTGCCGCCAGCGCTGTCCCCAGTAATCACGACATGAGGACGGACCTTGCCGCTGAGACCGACGCAGCGGCCGCGACTGGCGACGATCGTGCGATAGACATCGTAGCATTCATTCAGCGCGTAGGGGTACGGGTACTCTGGCGCTTTCCTATAGTCCAGACTCAGGATGGGGACCCCCGTCTTCCCAGCCCAGGCCAGGAGTTTATCATCCGCCGTCCTGGGGTTCATGGCAACGAACCCGCCGCCGGGGATGTCGAGGACGATGCAGGTCTCGTCGCGCAGTGCGCTGAGCGGACCATCGAAATAGAGCCATGCGCTGACGGGCTCCCTGTAGGACGATTCGCGAGGACGGGGGATCCGGATCGCTCGCGGCGGGTATCTCGTGAACCTGGGCCGGAGCAGCTTGCCGATGGCCGCGAGGTACGGCGTGGTGGCCTTGTTCCACGACACGCGCAGATGCTCTACCGTCAAGGTGGCTCGCACCCGTCGGACCTTCTCGTCCGCCTGCTCGGCGGCGAACAGGTAGTAGATGGAGAAGACGATAGACGCGATGTCGCGCAGCCAGGCCGGGCGGATCTTCATTGCCGTCCAGAACCCGGCATCGAGAGCGGTCGTGATCCACGTGGCGCGGAAGTAGGAGCGGGAGTACAGGTTGGCGAGCGGTTCGGGGCACTCCAGGCCGACGATTTTGGCAAAGTTGCGCGAGATGTAGAGCCAGAGCAGGGTGATGACCATGGTCTGCCAGGGGGTCAGGCGGTTCTTCAGCCTGGAGGAAATCGCCCGGACGCCGGGAGGGCCATGGTGGTAGCCTCTAAAGAAACTCGTCAGATGAAGCACACCATGTATCAATACTAGAGGCGCACATACTTGAGGAGATACAGCGACCAGAAAGAGACGACCGTCAAGACCTGGATCTTTCGAAACTTGGTCGAGGGTCTTCCCAGTACGTGGTCTGTACGACGTCAGCCTTGCACTGACGCATATTTCACACAGCAACACTGTTAACAAACAGGTTAGATTTGACTGTACGTACCAATCATTTTCTAAAGCAAACATGTATAAAGAGGGCGATTATCATATCATTTGCCTGTTTGACAGAAAGCAGCTGCAAAAACTATGAATATAACAATAGAATATAAAGGCAAGGCCAGAAAGAAGACAGGAAGAAGACGTAAAGAAGACAGAAATAAGGAAAGAAAGAAATAAAGAAATAAAGAAGAATCACAATCAGATCCACCACATGTGATCTAAGTAAGCAGATCTAAGTAATTAAAGTAAGCAGTAGTAAGCCACCCACCCATCCAGTTTAGGAGTACAGAACATCCAGCACATTGGGTATACTGGCTAAGACAGTCATCATGGAAGGAATTAGAGCCAGCGTGAATGGCCAGCCAGTCAGCCAGCCAGCCAGCCCTTGTAATAGTGAGTGAGTGGACCCTCTTTTTTCCTGGGGCCGGGCCATGTCATTCGTATGGAGTAGAGTACGTGTAGGCAGTAGCTAGCTTATCGTCATTTATTAGTTAGGTGAAGAATCACATGCAACAACACAACACAGGAGTATACTTAAAATTATTTCAATTATTAATCAACAAAGAAAAGAACTGAAAGTATGAGCATTACTATCAGATAGACACTCATCAAATCAATAGATAAATCTCTCTCTCTCTATACCTGTCTCACAGAGAGAAAAGAACAAAGAGTATCCTAGAATGCCAGCTGCAAGCATGTGAAAATGACGGGGTTCAGGGGTCCCGTGGTAATCACGTGGGGCAGAGCAGAGCAGAACATGATTGCGATGCATGTGATAATAGCCTGCACTCTGTGTTCTCATTGGATAACTGGGTTATGGCCCTCTCTCGCGGAGTAACCTTGGGTTTCATTCCATTCATCATTCTTGTCATTATTGTTTCACTCGTTGAATAAATAGGATAAGCCATTATTATTGATTTGTAATTCATCTTCCTCAACCAATTAACTGTGTTCTATGATTTATCTCCAGACTGATCGCCTCTATTATAGGTTCATTATTACCCACTATAGATCATAACCATCACCAAGCGCTGCATTGTATAATGACTGCTAGATCTTTGTGCAAAAGTCGCGCCCGTGTCGCACCTGCCACCGGCACAGCCACACCTCAAATGCCATCCCCAGAAACCCCGCAATGCAAATCCCCCCCGAGTCGCTCACCGTCGTAGCTGCCAGAGAGAATTCCCGCTCTTCCGGCGGTACGCGGTCACTGATCTCGGCGAACGTGTTGACGTAGACGAGTCCCCCGAGCAGGCCTTCCCAGAAGATAATGGCGAAGATGATATATACATTCGGGATAAAATTAAAGATCGAGTGCAGCGTCAACACCGTCAGGTTGATCACCTGCAGGAACGAGGGAAAGTACAGATTGTGCACTCGGAAAAACGGGGTCGACGACCGCGACAGGAAGACGCCAACCTGATAGATGGCGTTGTAGGCCGGGTAGAAGCCCCGGAAATGTCGAAAGGGAGAGTCCTCCAGCGGGAAGAGCAGCGTGGGCGCAACTCCCTGGTTGATGGTGTATTCGGCAATGTAGACCAACAGCAGAGGAAGCATGCTGCCAATTGAAATCATGTCAGCCCATGCAGCATAACTTTCACATCAGCAGATGCACGTACAAAGGGAAGAAAAGACCTCTGGCGCGCCTCAAATTCGCCTTGAAAAGCGACCATCCACCTAAAGCATCGCCAGTCCTTGCCGGCTTGCGGTATTCCGTTGCGCGTTCCGGCCTTTCCAGCAGCCCGTCGCGCTCATGCCAGTCCTGTACTCGATCCTCCTGGCGTACTTCCTCCTCCTCATCCCCGTCGCTCTCGGAAATTGCGTGATATCCGGACTGGGTCTGTAGCCTGTAGTGAAGCGGTAATCTTGGCAGAATCACAAAGTAGCTCACAAGCATGATCGCCGGTAGGCATGCCGAAGCGAGCAGAGTGGCCTTGACACTGAGGCCCAGCGAGGTCGTCGCAACGGCGTACGCACCAGCACCGACCAGTCCGGCTGCACCCGTTCCACTGCCCCAGGCAGCAAGACTAAACGGTCCGTAGAAGTGTGTTAGCCCGAGAAAGCTCAGCTCTCCGCCTCCGCTGGACAGGCTCGCGAGGATGACACCCGCGAGCTTGGTTGAGATGGTCCCGCCATCGGTATAAGAAGGGGTAAGAGCAATGACGAGCATGCCCAGAACCGACAGAGTCACAAACATCAACACCCTCATCGAGTACGGCACGACGTGGATAAAGTACGGCGCGATCAGCTTGGTGCCAAAGGACGGGACCACATCGGCCAGGAGCACGACGCCCTTGGGGAAATCAGGGCCGACAAGATCGAGGGCTGCCGAAAGGATAATCACGTAGAGGACATTGTTGATTAGACCTGCAAACATTATCAGAAAATATCAGTCCGATTGTCTAGTTGGAACAGGTCACGAGACCAACCACGCAACGCAAGAGGGGGAATTGCAGACTCACCTAAGAACCAAAACGCCGTGCAGACCCTGGGATTCGCGCCGTGGAAAATGGCTTTGAATCGCTCACGGAACCTCGCCCATGACGAGTCCGGTGTTCCGGGAAGGGGCAAGAGCATGTTGGGATTAGTAGTGTCTGCTTCGGACTCAGGCATACCACAGGTCTGTCGGCAAGCAAGGCCCGTGATGTGATTCAGTAAGCGCTGTTTTTCGTAAGTGATCGAGATATGTTAGATAGATCTCCCATGCCCATTTCTGCACATGTTATGGCCTGTTGGACGTCGTGAGACCCGTGGTGCACGCTGGAGAGATGCTCATGGCAGAGTTGATGGATCGTTGCGGTTGTGATATCAACGCGGCCAGTGGCTCGTGACCAGGCGGCACGGACCAGTTGATAAGCTTTGGCTGATAGAGCAACAGCTCATCTACTGTACTATGTCTGCTGCATGCATTGGGCGACTTCACCGCCAATTTGCTGAAATATTCCCAATTTGTTTCATGATGATAGCATCAAGGATTCCTGCAGCTGAGGCAGAACTGCCTGTACAGTGCCACTGCAGTCATAGTTCACTGTAGCAGTGCTAAACTCAGTCTTGGCACCGCTGCTTTTTGCCTTGGACGGAGTGCTCCATACGGAGTACTCTGTAGAGTCTATTTTGTCAATAAAGACTATGTTTACACCTCGAGTGTCGGATGTAAGGTGCCTTTTAAAAATAAAAAAAATATACCTAAAGCATCCTTGACACTAGCCAGGAGAGACTCAATGCAGCAACGTAACCAGGTCCCAAAATTCGGCAACGTATACCGTGCAGCGATCAGTAGTGTACTCGGTAATAATTTGTACCGGTACAGCACTAAGTAGTAATCTTGAAGATCTCACCATCTATTTATATCTCCTGGAGATGGTGTTTTCTTTCGTTAACTCCGAATACCTTGAATAATATCACGTGACACTGGTAAGTAAAGTACTCTGTACGGAGTGAAAGATAAAATCTGACTGCTTTTTCAGGAAAGACTATTTTTATTCCACACTGGTAGTAGTACTGGCGAGAAATCAGGGTGATATCAGGCAGTTGCTGTTTGGGAAATACTGATTAAATACCACCGAGTGCTTCTTTGTCAATAATGGATGCCTCTCGGCCGGTTAAATAGCTCCGTCTACTCCGTAGTCCACGTTTTGATTATTACTCAGAGTAAGGTAGGCTGCAGCCTGCAATTCGGATCTCTCCCACTGCCAGTGTGCGTAATTAAATTAACCAGCAGAACAGACAAGCTTTTTTGGCGATGGCTTGGACGCGGTCCCACGCTGTTACGTATGGCAGGCCGGGCCCTGGGCCAATCAGTCTGGGCACGCATGCGAAGAGGCCCCCTGTCTGCCTGGAGCACTGACAGCAACACGAGATTGCGTGCGCGCCAGCGTCCTGTCGTCGTCAGCCATGATGATGGCCGGGCCCCGGCGCTGTGAAACCTTTGCTGCTCGACCGTCGTAGGAGCTGGTACGATCCTAGACAGAGTTAGAGCCCCGTCCAAGTACCAGACATTTTTAATTGCTGTTATTGCCGGCCTCATCACCCTGCCTCTCGAGAGATCAGCCGGGGCCTTTCTTTAACCGCCCACCCCCCCCCAATCGTTCCCAATCATTATTAATTCTTGAGCCTCTTCTTGTCGTTGTAAATACCTTCTGTCAGGCGTCCGTCCAGTGCAACTGACCGCCCTCTGCTCTGGGCTCATGCGAGGTGGCTAGCACACGAGGTGCGGGCCCAACATGGCCGCTTCGTATATTTCGGTCCCCCGCAGTTCGTCGCGGTCTCCCAGTCCCAGTCCCAGTCCCACGGCGATCCCCCTTCGCGGAATCTTGACGGAGGATATCGAGGCTGCCGAGGTCGAGTATAATGCGGCAGAGATCCTCGACGACCACCCGTTGCGCTCCTATCCGAGAAAGTGTTGTCCCGGCTTGACGTACTTCTTCCAAGCCTGGTACCGGGTGGCATGGAAGAATTGGAACGAACGGGTGTTTCGCCTCGTGTGTGTTCTTCTGATGATCCTGTAAGAGATCGCGCTGCTTCCATACGAAGTTTTTTTATTTGATATTAATGTGTCCACGTTGTCCAGCGGGGTTATCCAGTGCCTGGGGGTCTTGTCGAACGGGCTCTTCTACTTTGCGTCGGGGGACTATGACTGGAGAGAAGGATGGGAACCTCCCCAGCAGGAGCGGTTCGAATTTACTCGATGGCCAGCGGAATTTGGACAGTCGACGCGATGCATCTCCCACCACAACCTAGCCTTTCCCGACCCCATCAGCTTCGCGATCAACGCCGGCTGCACCGGTGCGCGAGTGGACATCTGGCTGTACAACAATGACATCTTGGTGGGAAGTTCGGTCCAATCGCTGGATACGAGGAATACCCTGAAGGACCGCTATATCGATCCGCTGCTCAGAGTGCTGAAGTCTCGAAATCCGACCAGCGACAAGACGCCGGTCGGAGTCTTCGACGATCCCACGCGTTCCTTTGTGCTCATCTTAGATTTTCGGTCTCTGCCGGGCCCCTTATGGCCGCATGTGTTGTCGCAGTTATCTGCTCTCAGGGATGGAGGCTATCTCACACACATGAAGGGGTCGCAGCTGATCCAGCGACCTGTGACGGTGGTGGTTTCGGGCCGGATTCCGCTGGCATTCGTCAACGCGATCCAATCCGATCACCGGGATATCTTCTTTGATGCCTCGCTGGACGAGATGGTTCTCGAGAGCCGCGATCGCGTGTCGGGGTATTCGAATCATCAACGGCGGGCGGTGGAGAACAGCGATCACGATGACAGCAGCGAATCCGAGGACAGGAGCCAAGACGTCGAGTCGATCGACTCCCGCACCCGCGCGAGGACCCCTCCGGACTATAATCCCCAGAACAGCTTCTGTGCGTCGGCCAGCTTCCGAGACTCGGTCGGGTTCCCCCGTCGCAACCGGTTCTCGAGCCACCAGATGAACCTGATCCGGCAGCACATCCAGGTGGCCCATCGACACGGCCTCAAAGCGCGGTACTATGATATCCCCGGGCGGAGAGGACTGCGCGATCTGATCTGGCACACCCTGGCGCAGGAGGGGGCGGATTTGATTGACGTGGACGGGTTCTGGGATCGGTCCGCGGGGCGGGGGTGGCCATTAAATTCGCAAGGGTCATGAGCATGAATTTTTTTTTCAGATCTGTGGACATAGGATTTGCATCATTTCTGCTGTAATTATACCTGGATTTATGAACATTTTATTTTCTGAAGAACCAGTGATGATAGGGCATCTCGCATTGCATTGTAAATGGCATTATTTATTTACCAGGAATGGGGCGTGCATCGGAGATTAAACGGAGCGTGGGTAGATATTGATCAGCCAATGGTTGTGTTGTGTTTTTCTTGTATCTTTCACCGTTTTTTTTTTTTGCTGTCAAAGTCTTGGTAGTTTACTGACCCTGTCAGGCGGACCTCGAGAACTCTTTCCTGCCTAAGCTATGACGCAGGACTTGGACCGCAAAAATAGCACCCCATTAAGGTTTTCTGTCTTCAGAGAAAACGAGGATCTTCAACATCTTTTTTTTCCTTAGAAAATTTACTTGTTGCTTCGTACTCCGTACTCTGTAGTAATTTTTGTTTTAGGCTGATGCATCCTGCACAACACATGCACGCAAGCGATTCGACTGCTGCAGTTGCATGGCTGACCGACTTGTGGATGTCTGGCGGTGGTCGGTGGGAGAAAGGTGTGGTCTTGGCGGATCAAGCTCTGCTCGTTTCAAGGTCTCTCCGGTCCCGTGACCGTATATTTCGTGGTGATAATGTCGCTGCCTCCATCAAAGACAGCAGATACGAGTAGTCATCAGGCTGGCTCGAGACACTGGACGCAGGAAATCAACGCTTCCAGCTCGACCTGTAGGAAAAGCGCTCTGTCGAGCTGTGCTGGCGGTCTTCAGGCACCACCACCACGGCGATGCGGTGGGATCTGCCGGGGGCTAAGGTTGCTACTTGCTAGCTGCCGGCGTACGTTCCGCGGCAAAGCATCCATTCGGCTGGGGGGATCCACCCGGCGCAGATGATGCCAATGCCATTAGTCTTTGTTAGTGAGCTCGTTGTTTGTTCTGCCGTCGACCTGCCATGGAAGGCTGCTTTCCCCGCTGCATTCCACGGTCGCCGGACTCCTGCCCGACTCAGTAGAACGCCCTCCTCGTGGTTGGCTGGGTGTGCTCTGTGCTGGTCCAAGCCCGAGCGCTTTATGATTGCATCGGTGGTGACTGGCCGCCTGTCATGGCCTCCGGCTGCGAAGCGCCTAACGAGAATAACGCCAGCTTGGGCCCCAGCAGGGTATGCCTGTTCCTCCCTAGGAGGATCCACCCACCCCAAAGAGTCAGTCAGGCCCTTGTCGCATGCACTCCAAACTACGGTTGCTTTTCTGCCCAGCAGGTGTCATCTCTTTCCCTCCATCTCCGCCCGGTTTGCTGTTTTCTCTGCTGGCTGGCAACAACAGTGTCTCCTGGAATGACTCCTAGGATCTCATCTCTGATCGTGCCCTTGTTTCCCTGCCGCGCCTGAGTCCTGCAAGCACGTGGATCTCTGCTGCGCGCAGCATCTCCACACCCGTGTTGTGTCTCCACCGCCATTTTTCGCGATTCTGGGCAGTGCCAACTTCCTCGAGATACCAACCCGTCTTTTCCAAAGGGTCGTGATTCTTGCCTCCATGCGAGCAGACGTCCTTTGACCATGGAACCGCAATATCCGCCTCATCATCCGCCCTTTTCTCGCCCGTCGTTGTTCGCCAGCGCTCCTCCGCCTCCCCCTCCTCGTCAATATGGGCCGTCGCCCTCTCCCCGACCCGACGGACGAGCGCTACCGACGTACGACTCTCTGCATCGAGACAGCGACCCGTCCCGGTCATCGACAACCTACGCATATCCGCCTCCGTCTTCCTTCGCGCCCGAAATGCGATCCCAGTCAAGACCAATCTCGCCTGTGCGACTTGGCGCGTTGCGACCGGACCCTCCCAACGGCTTTTCTACTCAGTCGTCGCCGGTGAAGCACAATGGAAGCAGTGTGAAGGAACAGCCAGGCTCGATATATCGTGAAGGTATGGTGCCCGTCATTTTGTTTTTCCTGCTTGTGTGGCACGGTTTTGGGGAGGATGGCCAGCTACACCTCTTTTACAATGACTCCCAATGCTGCGCTCTTGTTTGGAATCGCATCTGCAGCGTCTCATTTGCTTCCCTCTCTCCTGTTGTCTTGTCACTGTGTTGGCATGGGGCAAGAACCATGTCCCAGTCGGATCTGTTTTGAAACACCGCCCTCTGGCGCTGCCGCGTTGGCGATCCTTGTGCGACCCTTGGGACGGCGCCCGCGAGGCGTGGCCCGCTGCTGGGTGCCTTGTTCTGCCCGTCGCCTGCATCCCCTGCGAACACGCCCTTCCTCATCCCTCTGTCCCAGCCAAGCAGGCACTCAGGCCTCTTGCTCGACGGTCCGGGGTACGCGCGCACCAGCCACTGTGGCGGGCGATCGGCTGGCCAGGCGCGGCTGCAGCTTTCGCGCCTTCCCATTGGCTCTGCTGGCGTATTTCCCCGGGAACGCTAGCCTGTTTGGGCCAGCTGCGTGCTTGTCCCGATCTGGCCTAGCGCATCACCTGCGTCGGCCCGGCTGGGGCCGCGGTCACGGGTCACGGGCTTTCCTCCTGTGCTTCTTGTGCCTTGCAGACCTCGTCGTCGCATCCGCATTCCCCGTCTCCGCCATTGCCACCCGCCTCCCTTTCAATTATGCCCTCTGACCATTCTGTTTTGCTTGCTTGCCAGGCCTAGGCGCTCCCTTCTTCCCCTCGCCATTGTCGCGCAACATGCATCCTGCTCCCTCCGCGCAGGAGCAGGGCAGCCGCCCGTCCGTCGGAAGCGGTGGCAGTCCCGGGCTCGCAACAAGTGGTGAGTTGGCCTGGACGCGCCTTTTTCGTTGAACTCCTTGAACCTATGGATGGGACTCTCATTGCTCCTTTCATATGTGGAGCCGTCCATTTGCGATGATGGCAGATGCTGACGCGAGAGCAATTGCCCGGCAGGACCCCAAGAACCACGCCCGCCGTCCAGTCACTCTTTCAACAGTCGTCAGATGCCGCCGCCTTCTCCTCCGCAACCCTACCCGCCTCGTACCTCGTCAGCGTCGACGTCCCAACCTCCAACGTCCTCATTCCCTTCTCGCGAACCGGCTCCTGGTCCGGCGCATCGTCCGGGCAGCAGCATGTCGATATCTTCCATGCTGGGCTCGGATGCAGACCGGCCATCCCGCGATCCGCCATCATCCTCCATCTTTTCGCGTCCATCCATGTCGTCCTCTCCCTTTGCATCCGCACACCCCCCTGCTGGCGCTGCGGGAGCCATGTCCCCGCCCACCGCTCCCGCGCGGCCGGCGTCTTCCCTGGATCAATCTCTATTCAGACGATCGCAGACTCCCGATAAGCTGTATTCCAAGAATAATCAGCCTCGCCAGTCGAGGTCGGGGTCCGGGAGTGGGGCTTCGCAGCCGCCGCCGCCGCCCGAGGCTTCGAAATTCGGTCCCTCGCGTGGCCCCCAGCCTTTCTCTCAGTATTCCGACAAACCCTCAACCTCGCTGACGTCTCCCCCGGTTACTTCCGCCGAGTCTGGTTACAATCAATCTCCACGACTTGGCCTAAGTGGCCCCACCCCGAGGCCCAGCAGCCAGCCTCAGCAAGAGGAGGCGCGAGGTCCGGGATTCAGTCCTCGATCGCGGGCATCCGGCGAGGGACCATCGAGCAATACCCAACGGCAAACATCTTACCCTGAAGCACAGCGATACAACGGTCTGTACTCAGATAGAGCGAGAGAAGAGCAGGCGGCGCGCGAGCGGGAGAGAGGCGCCGGGCACGAGCCCGACACCAAAGCGCCCGGAGGCCCGTTGCACGGGCGATACGGATCCCATTTTGGTGATCGAGAAGCAGAACGACCGCAGAATGCACCGCCATGGGATCCGGGACGGAGCTCACCCGAATCTCGACGGTTCCCGGCTTCTTCTGAGCCTGGTTCCGGTTTCGGCTTTGGGGCCATTCAGAGCTATACCAAGTCCCTGGGATCCCAGCTGGGAGCCTCTCGACCGCCCCCTCCGCCGCCGCCGGCCGCACCATCACAGCACCACAGTAGTGGTGTCTCGATCCAGCCGCGACAGGGCCAACCGACGCCGCCACCCAGCGAGCAACCGTACCTTAGCAAACTCCAAACTCAGCCCCGGATCTTCTCTGCGACATCGGCCCCGTCAGGAAGCCAGCCGTCCGCATTGGGTGGATCTACGGCGACAACTGAGGAACAGCGCCGGAAGGGCAGTGATGATCTGATGCAGCATCGGAGTCTCCTGGGACTTGGGGTCGATGGCAAGCGGGCCGGCCGAGCTTCCCCTCTCCCGCAAGCGGTCCAGGGCGCCCAAGCCCAGCTCATCGGACCGGCCGGCGAGGCCGGCATCAAAGGAGAATTGGGCCGCGTCTTCGCGGGCATTGGCAGCGGCGTAGGCACGAGCACTTCTGGAACGGTGGGTAGCGGACCTTCCACGCCCATGACCGCCAGCCCATTCAAGCGGGATAGTGTCGCGGCTCGATCGGACACCACCGATGATGGAAGGGCCGGTCGCGGCGTGATAGTAGGGCCCGGAAGGAAAAGAAGTGTGAAGGAGGAGGAGGCTCAGGGTGAAAACGGTGACCAGACCGCCGACCTCCGGGGTGCTGCTGTGTCTGCTCGAGGGGGTGCCCGACGGGGCCGACATGTCCATCATCACCATCACCAGTAAGTTTTGGCCCAACTCCTGTTATTCACGTTCTACTGGCAGATTACTCATACTTGCGTGTTTGTCACTACAGTCACCACCATCATCGACACAAGACCGACGAGGAGGCATCCCGTACCCCGTCGTCCTCGTTAAATCTCTACGGAAGAACGGGCACGCCTACGGAGGCAGCAGCCGGTGCCGGCTCCAGCGCCGGAACAGCGCACCACCACCATCACCATCACCATCATCACCACCTCCCACGGCCAGCATCCTCCGCTGTCAGCGCTACTCCGGCACCAGCGCCTCCGCGTGAGCCGCAGACGATCGTTAATCTGGAGCCGCTGCTGAAGAGCGTCGCACACCTTCCCCGGCACCATTTGGGGTCGACTCTCTACGCGCCACGCATCGGGGTGCCCACTCCCAATGCGCCGCTGGAAAGCCAGAAGTTCGGTTACACCACTACGCCGGTTCCGATCCCGCGTTTTGAAGGGAAAGAGAACTGTACGTTTACGGTCCGTGTGCCGCGCTTCCGCATCGACGCGAGCCACCGGGAAGAAATCTGTGCTCGCCGGGCACTCTGGGGAACCGGGGTGTACACGGATGACTCGGATCCGGTGGCGGCGGCGATCCACTCGGGATTCATCCGGGGTGAATGGGGAGAAGATGTAGACATCTCGATGCTGGATCTGGAGATCAAGGATACCTATCAGCATGCGCCGAAGATTCCTCCCGATGCGCCGCAGGAGGCGCGGATCCCGCCAGTGCCGCCCCCGGACAAGGACCTGCATATCACGCTCCTGATCCTGCCGCGCCTGGAACGGTACGAGTCGTCAGTGATGTTTGGGCTCAAGTCGCGGGCGTGGGATGGCACGCACGACGGCATGAGCTTCAAGGTGGAGCGGATCGAGTGGGTGAACGAAGGGTCGACGCGGGGCGAGGAGCGCAGCGGAGAGGCGCGGCGGAAGCGGCTGCGCAACATGATGCGCACCGGGCGTATCTGCACAGGGCCCAACCTGCTGCGACTCCGCGGGGGTCCTACGAGGCTCAGCAACAGCGAGGGCGTGGCGACGACGACGACCGCGACGACCTCGGCGCCGGTCGAGTCCGTTTCTTGATGGTCGTCTGGTTGTGCGAATTGATTTTGGCATGGTCTGGTTTGGATGATGTTGGACTGGGGGATCGCCGTTTTGGCGGCCCCACTTTGGATGTTACTGTCTATCTACATTCTACATGGTCGTGTGCGATGTTCTGTTGAACTGTATGTCTCTGGGGTTCTCTGGTGTTTGTATTTGTCGAGATACCTGATCCTGCAATCGATTCATATTTTCTCTTCACATGCTGTCCATGACTGCTCCGGTCCAGCGGACGGATGAAGGGAACGCCCGTCGTCCAATCGCGCGACCGTTGGCAGGCCGCACCCCGTGGAGAAGTTGGACGGACGGTCCATCGGAAGTAGATTTAGCTGCTGGGTGGCATCATCATGGAAGATTCACTAGACGGTTATTATTCGCTGTCTCGATGGCAGCCATGGGTCGTGTGGGCACAAGTAAGCGTCATAATGTAGTGCCGGAACTGTCACATGGCGGAATCGCCCAGAATCAGAGTAGCATCAATTCGAGTAGGATTGATTGATTACGATGGCAGGGTATCGCTAACAACTAGTACAGCTGTACAGCATGGCCTGCTGGCTTTACGTCCGTAAGAAAGAATAAAATACAACACAACAGTCCTCCTGCCTGTCTGCTGAGCAGCCCAGATGAACCGAGGCTCGGAGAAATCCTGTCGCCGGGCCGACATGTCATAAGAGTAGAAGAGCAGGAGTGATTCATCAGTTCCAGTTGGCAATATTTTATTTATTTGTCCATTTATTTTAATGAATTGATTCTGAGTGTAATAATTAAATCAAATTAAAAAAAAAATAACATCATAATTGACCGGTAATTGTACTGAATCCAGACGCGTCCTGAGGGGTCTTCGGTTTCCTTCCAGCCGAGGCACGAGCATCGGATTGCCCGATAACCAAGCACGCTTAAACGTCAGTCGCTCCGTCGTTATCTGCCAACTTCCAGTCTCTTTCTTCACGCGTCATTGCCTCCTGTTATTTTTATTTCTGCTCTCGACTATTTTATTTCTCGTCAGATTGCGTCGCGACAGTCGAGGGGATGTTTCTGGCTTCTGCTCGAAGCCGTCTGCTCTCCCCCGCCGCTGGACGTGCTTCTGCTCTGCGTCTCGCGAATCGATCTTCTCCAGTTAGGTTTTTTGTTTATTCTTTACTCCTCTCTCTAAGGTTGTAAGTGACAGTGCATGGCTGACGTATGCTAGACGCTGCTGGCCATGGCTCCGCATCGCAAGAACTCGTCCGTGCCGGAAGGTATGCTTGCGAATGCCACGGATATTTAAAAAGCTGGCCCTGACGATGAACAGGCTACAAAGAAGACCTGTCCAAAGGTCGCATGCTCCGCTTTGAAGACTCCCTCCCCCGCCTCCCCGTGCCCTCCCTCGAAGAGACCGGCCGTCGCTACCTGAAATCTGTCCACCCGCTCCTCTCCCCCGAAGAATACGAACGCACCTCCAAGGCCGTTGCCGAGTTCATCCGTCCTGGCGGCGAAGGCGAGCCGCTGCAGAAGAGGCTGCTCGCCCGCCGCGACGACCCCTCAATCAAGAACTGGCTCACCGAATGGTGGAATCACACCGCCTACCTGGGCTACCGGGACCCCGTTGTCCCCTACGTCTCCTACTTCTACTCCTACAAAGATGACCGCAAGCGCCGTAACCCGGCTGCTCGGGCGGCCACCATCACCACGGCGGCCCTCGACTTCAAGCGCCAGGTCGACGAAGGCTCCCTGGAGCCGGAGTACATGCGCCGCCTCCCCATGGCCATGAGCTCCTACCAGTACATGTTCAACTGCTGCCGCATTCCCGCCGAGGGCGCCGACTACCCGCAGAAGTACTCGCCCCAGGAGAACCAGCACATTGTCGTCGTCCGCAAGAACCAGTTCTTCAAGCTGCCGGTCGTTGTCGACGGCCAGCAGCTCACCACGGCCGAGCTGCAGAAGCAGTATGAGCGCATCTACAAGCTGGCCGAGCACCGGGCCCCTCCGGTCGGAGTGCTGACGGCTGCCAACCGCGACCACTGGGCGGCTGCCCGGAAGAAGCTGCTGGCTGCCAGCCCGGCCAACGCGCAGGCGCTGCGGGACATCGAGTCGTCGGGCTTCCTGGTGTGCTTGGATGATGCGGCGCCCGTGACGCTGGAGGAGCGGGCTCACCAGTACTGGCACGGCGACGGATGCAACCGCTGGTTCGACAAGCCGCTGCAGTTCATCATCAATGACAACGGCACGGCGGGCTTCATGGGCGAGCACAGCATGATGGACGGCACGCCGACGCACCGGATCAACGACTACATCAACAAGGTCATCTTTGGCAACAAGCTCGACTTTGACAACCCGACGGTGCGGTCGACGCTGGCGGCGCCGACGCCGATCAAGTTTGAGATCAACGACGAGGTGGAGAAGGCGATGACGGAGGCGCTGCAGGAACACCGGACGCTGATCGCGCAGCACGAGCTGCGGGTGCAGGCGTTCCAGGGGTACGGCAAGGGGCTGATCAAGAAGTTCAAGTGCAGCCCGGACGCGTACGTGCAGATGCTGATCCAGCTGGCGTACTACAAGATGTACGGGATCAACCGGCCGACGTACGAGTCGGCGTCGACGCGCAAGTTCCAGGAGGGCCGGACGGAGACGACGCGGACGGTGTCGGACGAGAGCGTGGCGTTCTGCCGGGCGCACGAGGACCCGACGGTGCCGCGCGAGGAGGTGGTGAAGCTGTTCCGGGCGGCGCTGGCGGCGCACACCAAGTACACGCAGGACGCGAGCGACGGGCTGGGGGTGGACCGGCACCTGTTTGGCCTGAAGAAGCTGCTGCGCGAGGGCGAGAAGGTGCCGGCGCTGTACCAGGACCCGGCGTACGCGTACAGCAGTACGTGGTATCTGTCGACGAGCCAGCTGAGCTCGGAGTATTTCAACGGGTATGGCTGGAGCCAGGTGGTAGACGATGGGTATGGCATTGCGTACATGATCAATGAGGATAGGTGAGTAGTCGTTCGTCTTTCTTTTCTGGTCGTCAGTTTCATTTACTAATGTTTCAACAGCCTACAATTCAACATCGTCTGCAAGAAACTCGGCGCCGAGCGGATGAGTTTCTACCTGAACGAGGCCGCGTGCGAGGTGCGCGATCTGCTGATGCCGGATTTGTTGGCGGAGCAGGAGAAGGCGAAGCTGTAAAAGTAGCGATAGAGTGGCAGTGCAATACATTCCTGTATGTACGTGTGTTGAAGAGCAGTTATTGTTATATACCAGCTTCTGCATGAACTTTTCCTCTTCTTGGCTACGTTAATTACTGAGTAGGTACATATGTTAGATTTGTATCAATCAATCAATCTAGAAATCATAACCCAGTCCAGTCTGACTGATTATCAATCGATCAATCAATCAATCAATCAATCACATAATTCACATTACATTTCATTACATTTCTCTTCTTCATGGAACTAAATTAAATTAAAATAATGAAATTAAATTAAATTATCGTCGCGGTAACTATACAGGTACATGTAGTAAATTCATCAATTTTTGAATAAAAAAATATTCAATATAAAAAATATGAAATATAATTACTGGCTAGGGGGAGGGTAGCTTGATAAATTACTGCTGACTGACTGCTATGTTTTTTCGTTCTGTGAAAATAGGTAGGACATACGTATGTATATGCTGTTAATTGCTGTGATTGCTGTGATGTGTATATATATCTATTTTTTTTTCATTCTTGGTATACCGTACTATATCTTTACTTTTATTTTCCAAGGGTAAATAGGTAAATACATTACATGAGTGACTAGATAATTACATACATACTTACTTACTACAGTAGATATATATACACACTACATACGTAGGTAGTAGGTACTTGTGTACAGTACCTAGATCTAGATTTATAGGGATATACATACATACCTATTCTACTATTTACTTTACTTTTACCTTTACCTTACTTTTACTACCTACTTCTTCTGTGCAGACTGTGCTGTTTTTCGACAGAATCCCCTCTCCAACTCCTCCTCCCCCTCTTCCTCAAAATTATCCAGCTTTTCCAACTTAACCAACTGATCCAATTTATCCAACGACAACGACTCGCTCAGCGCGTCCCACACGTATATATCGACCCATCCCATCCCATTCATCCCTGAAACTTTGGCCAAACAAACAAACCGGCGGGGCGGACCTTGTTTTGTTGTTCATGCTGCTGCTGCTGCTACTGCTGCTAATGATGATGACGATGACATTGTAGTTAGTTTCTTTCCGGTCCAGCTTCGTATGTTTGTATGTTTGTGCTGTACAAAGTTGAGTGAGTGAGGAACGGCCAGGTCGTCACTGTCCAAGGCGACTCAAATCTCAATGTCGTTTACGAAGTGATTGACTGATTGACTGAATTGACTGAATCAATCGACTCAAACAGCACATAGCCATCCTAACAGCGTGTATACTGCATGCAATATAGTGACTATATCGAATATATCGAATATATCAATCAAGGTCATGACGTACTGTACTGTACCGCTGCAGTAAACGATCGACGACCAATCAGATCAGGTCAGACGCCTATCTAACTCACTAACCTATTTGGGAATAAAAATTGGTGGATTGCGGGGAGAATACGGAGTAGGTTAACGTAATTCCCAACCGAACCGGACACCCGACCGAGCCGGACACCCCATCCAAAGTCCACGCGTTTAGGATACTGAAGCTATTCAAACAACCACCATGCCACCAAAATCGCGTCTATCGTCTCGAGACTTGGTGGAACAAGAGGGGAGGATCCAACTCGCGATCTCTGCTTTAAAAAACAACGAAATCCCAAGTGTTCGTCGTGCAGCGGAGGTTTTTAATGTGCCTAAATCTACACTTCATGACCGACTGACTGGCCACCATTTCGAATCGAACAACGTGCCAATGGCCACAGGCTATCTCAAACTCAGGAAGATGCTTTGATACAATGGATACTATCTAGGGATTCACGTGGAGTACCTCCTAGGCCTTCCCATGTACAGGAGATGGCTAATATTATTCTTCGAACCGATAATCCAACTGGATACACACCTATAGGCAAGAACTGGGTATCAGCCTTATCAAACGCCGTGACG